GAGAGAGAGAGCTTGGACTGACAGAGAAAGAGAGAAGGAAGGTGTGCGGGCGAGAGCGACCATACTTGTGAGCGCTTGTTGGGCCTGTAGAAGACTGCATGAGCCTTAACACGAGTATTGCCTGAGAATAGGATTCGAGCTCTGAACTCTGATATTGGGCCTGTAGAAGACTGCATGAGCCTGACATTCGTCTGTGTCCGCTTCAACTAGGGCTGCGGGGTTGGCCTAGCCTTGGTGCTTGTCACTGCTGTCTGGTCCAAGTTGCCCTCGATACTGGTAGTGTGATGGTCCTGAGTGCTGGTCACAGTGAGGGCATACTCACACTGGGACCTATAATCCCAAATCCCCCCCCAAAAAGGGTAGTGGTCCGATCACACAGATTTGCCAGAGTACCAAATGTACTATTGGTGTGCCCATTTGTCAGCGGCCTGGGAAGCCGCGGGCCAAGGGAATTTGAGGTCACCTCTGGAGGTGACCGCATATGCCCTTTTTTCCCGCATTTTCTTCAAAAATTGGCAAAATTCGTTCACAAAAGTTCTTGCACAATTTGTGGATGGCGCCGTCTGCCTAGCCAAGTACCAAATCCCCATTTCTCGAGACGGCCATGACCTTCTCCCATCTGAAAAGGTACAACAGTGTGATGTGAACCATTCCCAAAACCTCAAATCGGCCCTTCCCAAATCTGCATATTTGCGGATTTGGGGTTGCAGTGTGAGTTAGTTAGGTTCCTTTCCCCCTTCACGTCAGACAAATAGGTGCAACTGCCAACCCTTCATTCTTCCTTCTGTTGAGGTGGTAGGACCGTTGTGCAGCATTGATTGCTCTTCTAAGAATCCTCTCAGCCCCAGGTCACCTGCGACTGCCATGAAGTCATTTGTATATGGCCCCGCTCCTCGTGTTTTGAAGTGAAGTCTTCCCTTAGTAGAACTGGCCAAGGCTTCCGTGTGCCCTTTACCACTGCTGTGGATGTCTTTTTCTATCTTCCCTCCATAGGTGGGTTGATACCAGGACATCCATCTATGGGCAAGTTGCTGTTAGCAACCAAGGAAAGCTGGCTTCGTCGGTAGTCCATCAATTGCAGAAAAGAGGTATGAGCCTCTGAGGCTATCTTCTTTGCTTTTCTGTTAGCACCAAGTAGGATTTGAGTACTAGCCAAGATATCAGAATGGAAGCCTAGTATGGCATCAGTTTGTGCCTACCTACCTGTGTTCTCTGCCGGCTGTCTAATTCCTTTTAGTCCTCCCTTTGCACTGTCCACGGTGATTATGCAGGTGATGAATGCACGTTTTCGTCCTTTGTTTACTGGGTTCTCATTGTTTTCCTGATTGCAGGCACAGTGGTGGACAGGATCGTGTGCAGTCCTGACCAATTTGACTTCTACCTCTGCAGCCACCAAGGCATCCAGGTGTGTGCCTGTGAAACATAAGAATGAAAATCGTCTACAAGAGTAAACGTCTGCTACCTTGCTATTCAGGATGAATTGAAATGTTATGGGGCAATTCTGGGTTATGGTGCCAAATTTCCCTTTGCCAGATTTCCCTTCTTTTGTTCTTTTCTTTTCACAATGATAGGAAGAGCCGACATCGAAGGATAAAAAAGCAACATCGTCGCTATGAACGCTTGGCTGCCACAAGCCAGTTATCCCTGTGGTACATTTTTCTGACACCTCTAGCTTCAAGTCCTGAAATGCTAAAGGATCGATAGGTCATGCTCCCGGTGTGAACCATTTTCGTTAAAAGTGGGATGAGGGAGTCATGCAAGAGTGGAAACAAGAGTGGAAACAAGAGTTGAAAGAAGGGTGAGAATCAGACAAAAGAATGTTATTTTGTCATTATAATTTATAAATGATTATATGCAACAATGCATTTTGTTATATTTTAAGTCATCAACTATAGAAATTGCTGCTAGACTGTGCTAGTGTCATTGCATCAAGGCCTTAACGGGCCAGTGAGTGTCCTGTTAGTTTGTAAGAGCAGCTAGGTCACCAGGTTCTTGGGGATTGACCATCTCTGTGGGGTAATTGGCCTGCATAACCCTGCATCCAACTGCTGATGTAGCCCAAGCCCAAGCTTTGTTTTCAAGCTTTGTTTTCACAAAGTCGGCTTTGCATGTCTCCATGGGGGTCAGAAGGGTCATGAGGAGGAGGTGGTATTTCTATTTCTAATATTTCTATCCATAAGGAAAGGGCTGGATTACAACGCCTGGGAAGTCCTTTTATTTTGACCTGGTTGCTTTAAAAGAAGAAGGAAAAAAAAATGTATGGAATGCTCTGTGAAATGTTGGAGTGATCCTCAGGCGAAGTTTGATGACGTTGTAACTTCGTACAGCCTTTTTGTTTTTTTGAAATTTTTTCTATGGCTCTTTGATGAAGAAAAAACGAGTCTGAAAAACTAATTCTGTGCACTCGGATACCTGAGTTGTCCAGAAGGCTATTTTGTCCAGACATCAAAGGGGGTGATATTTATTACCAGCGATAAGAAAAAGACTGCGTTATCATGTGTAGGAATTCCTTTCTTCTGTTCTGGTTGCTTTGATAAAATGAAATGAAATTACTTCTGAGTCATGATCTGATAGGAAATGTTGAGTTGACCCTTGGCCAAACTTTGGTGGTGATGTTGTAACACTGAAAAGTTTTTTTTTTTAACCACCTGTACATGCCATACTGCGGCTGCGGGCCCCTTCCGGAGGCCGAAACGTGACAGAAGCCGCCTACGGTGTTTATCATAACGTCCCTGACTTTTTCGGATGGGTAACGAGTTTCTTTTCAAAAAGGCTGGTGGCGTGTGCTGCTGGTTTAATGACGCTTTTGATTGAACCAATACGGCCTTTCACTGGCAAAAAATGAGAAAAACACCATCGCGCTGGCGCTTCGCCAAAGCTTGGTGCAAAGTTCTTTTCAGTACTGAGTGGTTAAAACCACCACCACATGGCCCTAGCCAACTAGAGACTCATGATTGAGCCTCTCCTTAAATTTCCGGGGCTCGGGGCAACCAGAGCACAATGGCTGGCTGTCCCAGCCAAAGAAAAACGAAAACATCACGCTGGCACTCGGGCAAAACTTGGCGCGCAGCACGGTTTGAGGTTTGTGGATTTAGGTGCGGATGTCCTGGTGGTTTAAGTCCTTGAGGACATCTGTTAGAATTGGAAGAGTAGACAGAAGATTAGCATGGCCCCTGTGCAGGGGGAGGAAATAGAAAAGAATACAATACACCATGTAAAATTGTAAATTTAATTTTGTGCACTCTGCGTCAGAGTGTGGTCATGTTGTTACGTTCCTTGACTTGCCAGTGAAATTGGAACCCGACTGATGCTCCCCAGTATGGATATGGACTATTATGGAGCCAGAAACACATGTTTTTTTTTTTTTAAACGACTAGTACCTTTGTCGGTTTGGAAAATAGCGGGCCTCCGACCTTTCAGGAGGCCGAAACGAAGCGAAGACCACCAATTAGATTTATCAATGCCAGCCGTTGTCAGGGCCGGCCTCCGAATTCTTCGGGAGGTGGTGTTTTACGCCATTTCTGAAGCGGCAAAGGTACTGGTGGTTTAATGCTGTGCACTTGGATGTCTGACCTGTTCAGCAGGCTCCAGTCATGTGATATCTGGATAGGAACGAGTCATGCACTGCAGGCTGTCAAACCTCGTAACATAGAATGGATGCTGTTCTAAGCGTCATGTATGTGACTTCTGTCCACAGGGTACAAGTCGTGCAGCACATTACCATGTGCTTTATGACGACAACAACTTCAACGAGGATGAAATCCAGTCATTCACCAACAATCTGTGCTACACGTAAGTGTGCTCCCATGTTTTGGGTGCTCCGTTCTGTGGTGTGCATTGACATGGCTCCTCTGAGTGTGTGTTAATTACACTCCCTCCCGCCACCCACCCACCTTTTCCCCCGACAACAATAAATGATGGTCTTCTTGCCTTTCCACGGACCCACGAAACGCTTGGATGCAGACCCAAGAAGAAGAATCCCAAAATAGGTAATTCTGAAGAAGACGAATCTGTGTTTTCAGGCATATGGTAAGGTTACACTCATGATGGTCTTCTTGGCGTTTCACGGATTCACGGAACAGTTGGATGCAGACCCAAGAAGTAGAATCCCAAATTAGTAAATTACTAAAAAATGGGTAACTCTGAAGAAAGGGATCTATTTTTGCAATGTACCTGGACTGCACCACCCCTGGAGAGTCCATTGGACGACTGTGGCAAGCGTGGAATTCTGTTGTGAATGGTACCGAGTTACTTCAATCACATTATTGTTGCTAAAAAAAACCCTAAAAATTAAAAGAGAATGCTGATGGTCCTTCAGGCAATCCATAAAAATTGTAACAATACAGAAGAGTAGTACGGGCCGTGCGCGATGATGATATGCTTAGATCGAGACTGAACTGGCTCCGCTGCCACTTCGTGGCCTTGGACATGTAAGAGTCATACAAAACCCAATTGTCTCGGTATTTCTTACTGTGAAAACCAAACCAAGTTGAAAAAAGAAAAAGAAAAGTGGATGCTGATGGATCATGGATGCTGCAATGCTAGGTGTGACCGTGCTACCACAGATTTAAACCACTAGTACCTTTGCAGGGGAAAATAGCAGGCCTCGGGTGGGCCTCCGACCTCTTAGGAGGCCGAAACGAAACGATGGCCGCCGATCAGATTTATCAATGGCAGCCGTCGTCGGGCCCGGCCTTCGGTTTTTTAGGAGTTTGCGAAAACTGCCAGTTTTCCCTATTTTCCCAACAGTGGAGAGGTACTAATGGCTTAAAAGAATTTGAGATCAGCGCATGAGTTTTGCAGTACGATGTAGTAGTGTCTTGGATACATGTGCCATCATAGAATCTGTGTGGTTGTGTGATACTCGGCAGGCATGTGGAGCTAGCATATTCCTGGAGTGGGAATAAAATGATTTGAGCGCTTGAGCTTATGTGCATAGAAACTAGAACAGCTGTTGTCTTCACTGGTTGCATCATTCCGCTCCAAATTTCAAGGCATGATGGGTCGTACAAATTGCAAACAATGGAACTTGAAATGGGAAGTTCAGCGGTTGGTAAGGGCAACTCAGAGACGCCAATTCGCCTCTGATTTGTGGGTGTTGAGAAAAGAGGAGAATGGGGAAAGCTTTTCCTTCTCCATTAGGTGGTCTTACAGTCATGCACAGATCGTTTCGAAAACCTTTTTGATGACGTTGTTTAGCTATTGCGTCTCTCTGGAAGAACTGCCCGATATGTATCTTGTATGTATGGTTAATGTTTGAAAAATAGTCCTTTTAGGGAAAAGAAGGGGACCTCCAAAGGTGCCTACAAAATTCTCCCTCCTGTGCATGTGTGGGAGATTGAGGATAGCGTGTGACTGCTCCATTGTCTGCTTCATATTGCTTGTAACTCAGTTGATATCCAGTAGTCTGTTGAAATGAAATGCACCTGTAACTTTGTGAAGAGGGGTCATACCATACATGCAAACATCATGCATGCTTGCATTGTCTATGGCATATGCGGTACAGGCAAATGTTATGCCACCTGTCACTGTCTCTCCGCATCTCTTTCCCTCGGTCGCTTGTTTTCTCTGTGTGTCTGTCTCTCACTCATCTTTCCGCCCTCTGTTTTCCATAGTCCTTCCCCCCCCCCCCCCCCCCCCCCCCCCCCCCCCC